ATATTATTACCTTTAAAAACAACAAAGATAACCTAAAAAAATTCTCCGGCCAGCGTGAAACATGCGAATATAGGAACAAAGAATGAATTCTGAATAAATACAGGGTGGTTCAAAATTATCTCTCCTACAAGAAGATAAACACCTGTGGCATATTCAAACACCACACTTCCCTGTTTTGCCTATTCACGCTTATCCTCAAGCCAACAATTAACTTTAAAATCAATAAACTTTGAAATGTTGTTGTTCGAGGATTACATTAACTCTTTCTTAGTTCTAAAAACTTACACATAACACAGAAATAAAAATCCTTTATCAAAGAAAAATAAACGTAAACAAAGAGAATGGTATGTGAATACAAAAATAAACCCTTCAACAATGATTACACAGAATACACTTTAACAACGAAATTACACAATTTACAAGAACCCTTTAACAAAGAATAATCGTTACCTCAGCATTAAACATTCTCTAATACAGGTAACTTACAAGTTAACAGACTACAAAAAGTTTTACCATACACAACCAAGGCATCAACATAATACCAAACACCAAAATAAAATAACTTTTTATAAGGAGAAAATTTACGATATTGATACATCAAACATTTCACGAGACATTCAGTTAGAAAACGAAATGAATATAAAAATGAAAAAGTATTTATGTACACATCAGCACTTGAAACAAATATTCTAGCGAACCATGGCAAAACAAACAATACTATTTGATAATAATTACAATACAAGATAATATGAACATACAAGATTTAACATTCTAACAATTATAACACAAAAATATTCTAAAATACACAATGGAAACCCTTTAATTAAGGAACAACCAGGAAATACTCTCCAAATAAAACTTATTCATACATATTTGTATATGCTTAGTCAGATATTGTAAACTTCGAGTGAAAACAGAAAATGATACTAATATATATAGAAATCAAGAAGAAAGATATTATGCAGAGATACCTATTATAATATATACAACCATTACGTAAATAAATATACAAAATATATACTTACACCAGCATCCAGCATAAGGTACAACTCTCCTTACCTTTATTTAAACCCTGACAGTAGTTGTGGATTTGTGATTGGCCACTGCCACGTCCTCAATTACTGCTTTGGTCTGAATCATGGCTCTGCTTCATCTAATTTAGAGTTATCAACAGTTGATAGGATTCAACTGGGAAGGTGAAATGGAGCAGCATCAGAGTTGTCCTCTTCCAAGTTGTACAATGCCCAGGCTTTCATCTATTTGGCAGCCATTTCTTGGCAATGCTGCTTTAGAATTTGAATTTTCATCTACGAGAAAGCTGGGCTGACCATTGAACTCTTCAGTACTACCAGTCCAATGAACTACCCCACCCACCACCCTACCTCAAGGTGGTGGCCAGGCCCAACTTGAGTTCCATTCGTTTTGCGAAGTATTTGCTATAGCATTGATCCTTTCCTACTGTATGTCCTGGACTGCTGAGCCATTAGACAGTACTGATAACCTTGCTTACTTTGCTCCTTGCTGCAATGCAGGTGCTATTTGATGGCAGGTATCTATCGAGTCATCAGTTGGAACCAATGGCCCTGACATATTTGCTGCACAACAAAGTATGGATAGTTCATCCAGTTCATTTGGTGGCATTATCGGCATTGATTGCGAAATGTACTCCGTGAAAGGACCTACATAGCCTAAGCTATTCATTGGAACAAATATGGTTGCATAGCAGTGCCAGATGTGTGGGTGGCTGTGGGCTTTTCCTCCCTAACAACCAGCTCAAAGTTATTCATTCATACTAGCTATGATGAAGACTGGCTTTGGTAAGCCTTGGCACAGAGCTCCACCCATTTGTATGAGACTTAGATTGTTGAAGCTATACATAAAAGAACTCTGAATTTACAAAGTGCGCCATTACGAAATTTGAAAAGTAATAAACTTTATAAGTTTGTTGAACACTAAAAATCGGAATTCTTAATAAAATATTTATACTAAAGATTTGTCTATGAATTTATCAATAGTTTACTGGGTTAATCTGACTATTCTGAGTGAAAGGTGATTTTCATGCTAAGAATGAAAATACTTCTTTTACTTTTACAATTTTCATTTTGAATGTGCATAACATCTAGAATCACCTAAATGAATATCAAAAGATTTTCGGTAAAATTTTATATTTTATCTCTTGATTTCTCCATCCTAACGTTAACAATAACTGTAGTCAAATCAATATAAGTTGAAATTGGGTGTCAGGCAACCAATCTGGAAGTGCCAAATCAGACAAAACCTATATAAGTATAGGAAGTGATACAATTTTACAGTTTCAAATTTGTGGTGAACACGATGGCATCTGGGAAGGAAATTGCACCTGATAAGCATATAATTAAGAAATCAAAGTTTTAGCTAAAGAAGGCTACTGCTATAAACAGATTGTAGCTCTATTTCATGTTTTACCCAGTACTATATGCAAGATCTTGTTTGTAAAACTTTTACTGTTGACAATAGAAGTGGTCAAGGAAGTAAACCCAAACTATACAAAAGTGGTGTAAAATTTCTCAGAGTAAATTCTGCGTGTGATAGGCGAACATCCAGTAGAGATCTTGGTAATGACCTTGCTGCGGATACTGATGTTAACATTTCTTCAAGAACATACATATTAACCCAAAATGATCTCAATGAGACGTTTTCCTGTCAACTGGCTTACTCTAGAAACCTGGTATGAGTGATGAGAATTGAATGTTCTATACTAACAGAAGACGTTGGACTTACACATTCTTTTACAACATATCAAGATCTGCAACTTTTACATATTGTCTACTAATGAATAACATTACTGCTGTTGATCTGTTTCACACAATGTGCGAAGTTGCAGCAATATATCCCTGCAAACAAAGTAAATATTGTCTGCTAGATAATAACAGTGAAAGAAAGGTAATTAGAACGAAAGTCATATAATGTTTTTTTTTACCATGTATTCATGCCGCAATTATATAGATTCAAACTAAAGGAAAAATTTTAAAAATTCCTATATTAATAAAAAACTACAGAAAGCGCATGACTTGCCGGCATATCACACCATATGAGTATTGTTTCTTTGTTGTTGTTTTTATCCTCGAAGTACTCGCACAGAAAGTACCAATTTTTAACATACACATCATGGTCACAAGTAAATAGACACCACCTTTTCAGAGAAAATTAAAATTTTCAGTCATATTCACATGAATTGATATATTAATAATTTAATTAATATCTAGTAGATCTTTCTTTCGCTTCGTTGAATTCGTTGATCCTTTGGGGCATCGTGAGAATCATCTCGTCAATTTTAGATTGTGCGATTTTCGCCCACTCTTCCTTCAAAACTTGGAGTAGATCGCTCTTCGAAGTTGGTTTTTTGGTTGTTTCTTGACTTGCCGGTCGAGTATGACCCAGAGGTTTTCGATGGGA